AGCCACCGAGGTTTTGATCTCTTGCTAATAAAGTACATTCCAGTTAAGCTTGTCTCGGCATTCGTTACTGGACGGAGGACGGGGTCAGAACACTTTTCTATACAGGGTTTTCCCACAACAGTACTTGGGTATGAGTACAGAGAACGTGTGAGCACAGGCCAGGGATCAACACTTTTGTAACACTTAGTAAATGAACTGGGAAAGGGCCCGCGAGATGAAATCTGAAACTAAGATTACAGCTTATTATATTTAAACAATCCAATGTTTATAATCAGCATATGGTTGGAACGATGGAGGATATGAGGTAGAAGAAATCATCTGGTTCAGGAGTCTGCTACACATTTAGTACATTTGAAAGTTACCCACTGATAAAAGTTTATCATTGTTCTTGGCGGACTGTTTAGCATCTCTGCCATCAGGGCTCTTAATATTCAGCCCGAGTTTAATCTATGTCTTACCAAATACATTCTTGACGCCTTGCTGATTTATTAGGTAATCCACATACTGGCGGATCAGAGAGAGATTGATGTTTCTAAAAAGAAAAAGAAATAAAAGGAACATAACAGAGAAGATGGAGCTAGTTATAAAAATATTTTACGAGTAACATCTTCCAAACTAAAGTTCTTAAAGACTTGGAGCTTCAGATTCCCCCCCCCCCTCTTCTGTCATTGGTACAAAATAGTGAATAACATAGAATAAGCAGCTTCTACTACTTCCCCCAAAGTACATTTTATGAAGGGGGAAAATAGTTTATAAAAGGAAGCAGGAAGTGGTCCAAAATGGAATCTGTTAAGAGTTGAACTTTTATTTGATTTTCAAAATTTTGCTTTGGAACAAACTTTAGACCACGCGGAAAGGCATTTCTGTCATCACCTTTCCTATTAAAATCCAGGTAGGATCAATGGAGAACAAAAAGTCTCAAATATTCCCAGCTAGAGACCGATTTTGTCCCAGAAATATGAAAGTAACAAAAGGCATTGCTCCCTGTGCTATTCTTTCTCATTCCAAATTTACCTCAAGACTGGATTACTGTAACGCGCTCTACATGGGGCTGCCCTTGAAGAGTGTTCCAAGACTCCAGTTAGTCCAGAATGCAGCCACGCGAGCGATTGTGGGTGTACCTAGGTGATTTATTAGGTAATCACACCTATCCTCCGCGAGCTGCACTGGCTTCCCATTGGTCTCCGGACACGCTTCAAAGTGCTAGT